ATGGGAGAAATTCGATATAGCCTAATATGCATCTAGAATAGTTTATAGATAGTAACTCTTGTAAAAGAAATACACATATAAACTAAATAAAGCACGTTAGGCAAGGCCTAGCTAGTTGAGTTAAAAAAAAAAAAAAAAAAAAAATACTTCTTGTTATATCTAATCTTGTTTTTTATATGTTATACTTAATTTTGTCTTTTGTATATATGTTATACTTTTTTTTGTCTCTGATATATATATTATGCAATTTTTATTTCTCTTTTTTTTTTATATTAATATGATGTGTCCTCACTGGTTGATGTCATATCATGCAATTCTGCTAAACTAAAATAAACTATTTTTTATTATTAAGCTATTCTAATAATAAGCTATTTAAAACTACCATATTGAATTATTTCTATATTGCCTTGTTATTATTGACCTATTTTCAAGTGTCTGCCAAGCTAACATGCCAAGATTCCATTAGTGTTGTTATTGTATGAGTAATAAAAATTAAAGTTAATAATGTTTTTTTTCTGATCAAACAAGTTTTATATAAGTATTTGATGCATATTTAAAATTTTCTTTTGTCTATTAATTACACTTTATTGATTTGATTATATAGCAGATTGGCTATTGTATAATATACTTGTTTTTACTTTTTTTGTTTTTCTTGTTAATGTTTTTGCTTCTTTTCCATTGTTGGAACTGTTCATATATTTGGATTTATAGTTTTTATAATACCTCTATTATTCTGCTTGTTACTTTTTTGAATATGTTTTTTGTCTTTGTTCTATTTGCCTATTTTATCAGATAAATTAAGTCTTTGCTGAATATACCTCTAATTATATATTTGAGATTTTTTTCAAATTTACTTAATATTTGTTTCAGTTGGTTTTACTATTTGAGTTTTTTCTCTTTGTTCTTTATTCTGCTTGAAATCACTTTTTTAAAAATTCTTATAAATTTTAATTTGACTTGATTGATATAGTGTTTTGAAGATATGTTTTATAGTTTTTTGTTAATTGTACCAAAAGTATTTTCATCTTTATAAAGATCACGTTTTCTTGCATTCAATTTATTCTTTGTTAACAATTTGTTATTGGGAAGTTTGAATTTAAATATTCTGATATTCTAATCTTGTTAACTAATGTCAAAGTGTTTTTCTTGTTATTTTTCTTTTTAAAGATATTATATAGCAGACTTTTTTCATAATATTGATATTTGTTCTTGATTGAAAACAAGTTGAAAAAGTTATTCAGAACTTTTTTTACTTTGCATTCTATATTTAATTTGAAGAAAAATTATAATTTAAAATATTACACTATTATAAATACTATTAAATAGGCATCACTTTTTAAGAATGAGAAAATTGAAAATAATTGGAACTACATAAGAATGAAATAATATGAATTAGTCTAATTTAATCATTTAACTTTATATTTTGTATTACATATATAAATAGTATATAATTATTTGATTATTACTACATTATTATAATATAAATATTATCAAAATATTGTATTACTATTTTAATAGTATAATTAACAAAAATTATATAATTTTTAGTTTAATAAATAGTATTACTAGAATAAAGTATAGATTCACAATTTTTTAAAAAATAAGTTTAGAAAATAGTAAAGAATTAATGGATACTGAAACCACTAGATCTCAATATACTATATTAGAATACATATCAGAAATATCAAACTTATCAGATTCAAACGAATGAAAATAATTAATAGGATAACCAAATAATCAAATTTAAGAAGAATTTATTAAGTGTGATAAAAAAAAGATTATGTAAGTAATATTTACAAATATTGTAGTAAAAAATAAGTTAATAGAATGATTACTAGAAATTCAATCTTATAATGCATTAAATTATTATTATTTGGATGCTTGAAAACAATTCAAATATCATGAATTCCAAGTTATATACTTTAATAAATAATAGAAATTTTTAAATAAATATCGATTTTTTAGCTGAAATTTTATTACTATCTAAAAATACAATTGCAAGAATTTGATATAAGTCTTTATTTTTATTTTATTTTTTTCACCTAAAATATTGTGGCAATGGTTTAATCCCAGAAGTCTTTTATAAGGTTTTAAAAAAGCCTTTTAAATTTGAAAAATTTTAGGAGGTGGTTCAAATAGTGAATCTATTTTAATTGCATAATATGCATTATGATGCATTTAAATTACCTTATAAAATTTGAAGAATCAATAGAAACACGACAAAAAAGTTGATTGGATGTAAACAATTAAAATATTATTTACAAAAACTTGTTACATTTTTTAGCAACTACTTCACACAATGGTGATTGCGAAAGAATTTTTTCTATTTTAAATTGGATGACACAAAAAATACAAAATAGATAAATATAAATTTAGAATTTTTTTTTTAACAATATCTAACTTTCTTTTTATTTTTTAAGACCAACAGTTGAGAAGGTATTAAATAAGGCGAAATTATATTCTTATTATGTGACAAATGAATGAGAAGAATTAAATTATACTGAACACAAGTTAAATGATGATGAATTTGAACAAATAATGAAAAATTATGCTGCTACTATTATATCTGATGATATTGTTTTTGACGATTTAGAAAGAGAGGAAAAAAACACTGATTTAGAAGATAGTAATATTATAAATTTAACAAGTATCGATAATGAAAATTTAGATATTCGAAATACTATTAATTTAGATTATGCTTTGCACAAAGATGATTCAAATATTGTAACAAACCAAGAGATTATTGATCATGGCGATTCAAATTTTGATATTGATTCAATTATTAGCTTAAAGTAATTATAGTGATAGAAAATTTTGTATTAAAATAAATAATTTTGCTATTACAGTTTATGACATATCAATATATATGCCAATAATAATTTTGATTATGATAGTAATAATAATTATGACTGCCGTAAAATCTATAGTCACATAACTTAAACTTAAGCAGTCATGCCCTAAAAGGCGTTTATAAAATAGCCGCATTTCATTTAGACAATAAGATGATAGAGAACAAGATTATCTAAGAGGTTAGGTAATATTAATTTTTTTTATAATGTTACGGGATTGAAGGTCTGAGATACTATCAAACTCACTGTTTAGCACAACGATGGGCTTATATAATCTCCATGTATTTATGAGCATCTCGTTTGTAAAAGCAACATCCAATGCTAAGTAAAAAATTTATTTATTCAATATAGTATACTGTACGTATAGAACATTCGTAACAAACTTCTCTTTAATCTTGGTATAGAATACTGTTTAGATTCATCGAGTTGTAATACATAAATAATCATTGACGAATTTAGAAGGACTTCAACCAAGATTTCCGATCAAGAGTTCCATTGCATATTTGTGATACAGTACTATCAAATTCCTTGAGGAAATGCACCTACTGTAATAGGTAAACACGGCACAGGTGTTGATGCGATAAAACGTCACGTCGGTCTGTTATCACAGAACAGTGAGAAATTATGGGGAGAAATTTAGAAATGGGAATTTCTAGAATAATGTAGAATAGCAAGCATATAAACAATAGGCGCATGTATATATACATGCGTAATTCAGTAGCATTTAGGGAGATTTGGAAGTACATCGGTAATAGACAATAAAGTAACGTTTAAGGACAATTCTTACGTACCTTGTGTTTAGTGTGCCAAAGAAGACCCGTAACTTGTGATACGCGACTACAAGAGAGAACTGAGGTTTTTTCTAAGGGAAGTTAATCAGTAGAGAAGTTAAAGCGAAGGCCGTCCAAATCGAAGACACGCCTCGAAAGCTAAAGAAGAAACTTGATTGTTGACCGAACGTAGCAATAAGTTTTGTGTGCCGGAAACCCGTAACACTACGTACGTATTTTTGCTCCGCAAGAATAAATTTTTAATTCTAGTTGACTCAATTAAAATAACTAAAAAAAAAATATTATTATTTATTATCTTTTTAAATTTACGATAATCTATACATTTAAAATCAACATTTAACTGAAAAAAAAAAGTGCCGAAAATTTTTCAAATTTTCCATAAAGACTCAGAAAAATGAATCATAGCTCTTGCCTTGACTGCATCAACGAAGAGGTACGTTAAATTACTGCCTTTAATGCCTTTACCGCGGCTTACATTAAAGTTTTGTTGATTCAAGGTTGGAGAGTGTTCGACTACTCGTGCTATTAATGTAGCTGCTTCAAGCGATTCATCACCTTTTGACTACCGCGAGCAACACCAAAATTTAATCAACATGAGTCAGAAATTACAGCAATTTATTGACGAAATTCTTTCTCAGAAAACAATTCTTTCCAATCAAA